TAAAGCGTTGCTTATTTATTAATTTTAATATAAAACCATAAAGTTTTGCCTTAACTCATAAAAACTAAGCACTAAAAGAAGGGAAAGAGAAGTAAACCTATATTATTGCAAATATGAGAGATTTAAAAGCCTTCCTAATTATGAGGATTGTTTACTTTAGATAAAGTTCTAACACATTTTAATATACTTACATATATTTCTCCCTGTTGTATTTCACAAAAGTCTTGAGGTGGCCTTGAAGTATGGCTCTGTGGTCTCCTGGCAACAGAAGGATGTGACAGCAGATAGTATACTGGTTATCTTTTTCTGTGTAACAAATTACCCCCAAACTTAGCAGCTTAAGACAGAAAACATTTATTATCTCGCATGTATTCTGAGAGTCAGGAAGTAGGCTAGCTGGGTGGCCCTGGCTCAGGGACGCTCATGAGGTTTCGTCAAGCTGTCAGCTCAGCTGGGGCTACAGTTTCTGCACACTTGACTGGGGCTGGAGGATCTGCTGCAAGCTCGCTTATGTAGTTGTGGACAGGAGGCTTCAGTTTCCTGCCATAGTACTTTTCCACGTGGATGCTCATGACATGGCTTCTCCCCAAAGCAAGTGATCTGGAAGAAAGCAGAAGCCACACTGCCTTTTTTTTTTTTTTTGCCTTTAAAAAATTTATTTATTATTGAAATATATTTGACATAAAACATTGTATAACTTTAAGGTATAACATGTTGATTTGATACATTTATCAATTGTAATAAGATTGCCATTATAGTGATAATTAGCACTTCTATCATGTCCACACTGCTTTTTATAACCTAAACTCACAAGTAACATACTATCACTTTTTAAAAAAAAGATTTATTTATTTGTTGGCTGTGTTGGGTCTTTGTTGCTGCACATGGGCTTTCTCTAGTTGTGGCGAGCAGGGGCTACTCTTTGTTGCGGTGCGCGGGCTTCTTATTGCGGTGGCTTCTCTTGTTGCGGAGCGTGGGCTCTAGGCGCGTGGGCTTCAGTAGTTGTGGCTTCCGGGCTCTAGAGCGCAGGCTCAGCAGTTGTGGCGCACGGGGGCTTTGTTGCTCCGCAGCATGTGGGATCTTCCTGGACCAGGGCTCAAACCCATGTCCCCTGCATTGGCAGGTGGATTCTTAACCACTGCGCCACCAGGGAAGCCCTGACATACTATCACTTTTGCTGTATTCTCTTTCTTACACAGATCAACCTTGTATAATGTGGGAGGAGACTACACAAGGAGGTAGGGATTATTGGGGACCAGCTTGGAGGCTGGCTTCCCCAGACTGAGAGGGAGACCACAAAAAGTAAACCCAAGAAGTTGGAAAGCCCAGTGATCTTGGTTATTTATTTATTTATCCGCACCACGCGGCTTGTGGGATCTTAGTTCCCCAACCAGGGATTGAACCCGGGCCCTTGGCAGTGAAAGCGTGGAGTCCTAACCACTGGACCACCAGGGAATTCCCGATCTTGGTCATTTAGAAGTGGGGGAGAAGAGACCTACACCCTTTAGGAGCCCCTCGGAATCCGCACATGGCAGAAGTGCAGTTAAATAATATACATTATGGGGGCAGGTCATCTGCCAAAGGTTAAATTTTATTCCATTTGTTCTTCTTTTCCATTTCAGAAAGATTTCACACCAAAAATGTTAAAACGTTTGGCGCTTTAAGGGAGTAAGCTTCAATTTGGAAAATGCACTCATTAAAAGAGCTCTTTACCTCTATTACTGGATAAATCTAGTACTACTGTAATTAGGCTCCATGAGGTGGGCCTACTGAAAGTGTTAAAAAGGAATAAGTGTTGGAAAGACCCTTAAAATATTTTACTAAAAAAGCTAGAAGGGTAGACGTATTTTAAAAAATATTTGCACCAGGTCTTAGTTGTGGCACGCAGGATCTTTGTTGCCGCATGCGGGATCTTTAGTTGCGGCATGATTTTAGTTGTGGCATGCAGGCTCTTAGTTGTGGCATGCAGGATCTAGTTCCCTGACCAGGGATCGAACCTGGGCCCCCTGCATCGGGAGCGCAGAGTTGTAACCACTGGACCACCAGAGAAGTCCCAGGTAGATGTATTTTAATGTGCACTAACCCTAGTGGCTTTTCCTTGTGTTGTTTAAGCTATTGCATATTGTAACTTACAAGGTTCTGTATTCATAGTTTGCCTACAATGAATATGTAGTTGTTCTTATTCTTCAGAATGAAATAAATCCTAAATCTACGTAATTTAGAAGCAGTATAACAACCGTTATAACGTATGTTCTCTCACAATGGCTGTAAAATAAGTGTTTTTAACCCTGTTGTACAGTGAGAAAACTGAGGTGAGACTAAGCTGCAGAACTACTCAGTGATCACGTAGGATTGAAATTTTCTTCTGGCTCTTAAATCCTGTGTTTTTCTAGTTCACTGAATTGTGTGCTTCCTAGAAAAGTGTCTCATAACTTTTAGGCTATTGCTTAATACATATTATTGCATAGCCTTGAATTAAAAATTAGGTTCTCTCTGTTTCAGATTTGTGTATTTCATTTTATATAAATCCTACCTTAAAAGAAAGGAAAAAAAGGAATACTGAACTCTAATTAATGAAATGTTTGGGGGTGAAGTGTACTGATGTCTGCAGCTTACATTGAAATACATAAAGAATGAGATGGGAATGGGTATGTGATAAATGTAAAAAAGTTAAAGTTTAAATCTAGGTGGTATTCACTGTACAATGGTTTAATCCTCTGTATATTTGAAATTTTTCATAGTAAAATATGGGAGAAAATTAAATTGTAGAACCCACTGGGGGAAAATTGAATTGTCTCTAGTGCATTATTAATATTTGTTCTAAGTTGTACTTCCTGAGCAACTGCAGTAAGCACAGGGCTGTGGGATATGAAAAACAGATAACTAGGGACTGTCCTGCCCCAAGAGCTTCTGCTTATAAACAGAGACAAAGATTCTCATTTCTAACTGGCCTCTTTTCTTTTTCAGGATTGTACATAAATTTCCGTCATCTTTATAAACAGCGCAGGCGGCGCTTTGGACAAAAAAAGAAAAAGATCCACTGAAAAGAGAGATTTAGATGACTTCTTGCCAGTTTGAGCCTAATCTATAATTCTTAGTTTTACCTTCTTGTACTGATGTAAAAGTTTTTTTAAAGTTAAATGATTATATTCTCAGTGAGGCTATCTTCCTTTTTCCCCAGTAACATTCCTGAATTTACTGTATTATCTTAGTGTAGTACTTGCATGACATGGATTACTGATACCTGATGACAGGTTCATTCCTGTGTATTCTGTTAATGACAGCAAAAGACTCAGCCCTACCCCCACCCACTCCATGTCCAGTCAGTCTGTTTCACACAGGCCAGAGATACTTCTTCAGTGCCCTGATGCTACCAGCTACTGGCCATTCTTATAGCTGGGAATTGTTCTTTTCAGCTATTGCTTGTGGAAAAAAAAAAGCAAGACTACGTTGCTGTGTAGGAGGCTGTGAAAGTGACTCAGACAAGGACCTAATATATTCTGTACCCAAGGGGCTACTTGTTAAGTGGGTTGGCATTGATTTTTCTGGAAATCGAGTTTTACTCAGTCATTGATAAAACATTTCTGAGTCCAAGTAGGGCTGGAGGACACATATTACCTCTGAATCTCTCTAACAACATCTTAACCTGCGTGGGCACTGGAGAGTCCCAGGGTGATTTGAGAGAAACCAGTCAGAACCTTGGAACACCATGATCATTTACTTCATTCCTAGCTAAATCAGAACTATTTTCAACACGAAAGATGAAACATTAGTTAGAAAACAATGAGATTATAAGAGTTCCAAATGCAAATGGTGTTACAGGGATCAAAAGGGTCAAACTGGCCATGCAGCCTGTGGCCAACTGGAAACATCAGAGTAGGCCAAGTAAAAATACCTATGAAACTGTCTTAGGCTGTGCACAGACATAAAAAACTCAGTGTTCCTTCCCCTGCATTGACTGAGTCCATTTACTTGTGTCAGAGTGAGTTGGTGGAACTGTTTTTGAAGAGGCCTCAAAAACACCTGCTTTTTATTTTGCTGTTGTTTCACCTGTCTGCAGTAGGACAGTGAAAACAAAGTGAGAACTTTGGCTGGAGAACCACCAGCTGAGCCTTTAACAATTCCCGGCAGGAAATCCACCAACAGAGGAACTGAAAAAAATCTAGACACTATGATTTGGCCATTGTCGAAAACATCAGTTTTCCCTAATACATTCCAAGTAAACCAAGTAATACTTGTTTGTATATAAGAATTTGAGGTATGATGACTCTTTCTGTTCTGCCATTCCCATTGTTCCTGGGGGAAAGGGGACTCAGTGGGTTATGCTATTTCTCTGGGCCCAAGATGGAAACTTGGTTTGACCTAAGTAAAAACATCTGATTAGCATAGGCTGGTTGATATTTTTACAAGTTCATTGCACCGAAGGGTATTTTGCATGTCTGCAACTTCTGTCAACATTTGTTTGTATTAATTTCTGGTGTTCTTTCAACTGACTGACTGTGTGTAATTGGGCAGATCAGCTTTACAGCAGATTATGCTGTATCTTTGTGGTAGAATCTTGTATTCTTAGTGACTGATGGTTATAAACCCCTTTATTGCTGTCTGAGAAAGCTAAAGATTGTGTATTTCTATTAAACATTTACAATTAAAATCTTAGTAACTTGTGTTTAAGTATCATTTAGTCTAATGGTTTCCAAATTGTTAGTGATAAATTCCTTTGTTTAGACAAAATATTTTATAGGCATACCTCGCTTTATTGCACTTCACAGATACTTGCATTTTTTAGAAATTGAAGATCTGTGGCAACACTGTGTTGTCAGATGATGGACAGCATTTTTTAGCAGTAAATATTTTAAAATCAAGGTATATACATTTTATTTTAGAATGCTATTGCACACTTAATAGACTACAGTATAGTGTAAACATAACATTTTTATATACTGGGAAACCAAGAAATTCGTGTGACTCACTTTAGTGAAATATTTGCTTCACTGCGGTGGCCTGGAGGCAAACCTGCAAAACCTCCGAGGTATACCTATATAGCAATTCAGCATGTTAAAGAAAACATGTTTGCTTGGGTTGAAGCAGCCATTCCTTAGGAGTTTTACAGAACAATCTGAAAAGCACTGATGATGTAAATAAAGCCTGGAGAAGTTAGATGACTTGCCTAAGGTCATGAAGCTAGCTCATGAACTGGAACCATAACTGACTACAGTGATATCAGAAGCTACCTGGATGGAACCTGGCTTAGGCAGTGAAGCAGTGAGGCCTAACCAGTGTCAGAAACAAGGAAGTCAGTATGGAACCCAAGGAACCTTCAAGATTGATGAATCTATGCTACTTAGGAAGTTAAAATTATACTTAGGTTATAGGACAGAGCAAAAGGCAAAAAGACCCATTAAAAATTTCCCAGTGCAACCATTTTATAGAAAATCAAATATTTTATTTTCATTAAAAAAAATCTGAAGAAACAAGAATTTTATACATTTATGGTTGCTATCTAAAAGTTTGTATCTCAAGATATGCCAAAAGCACCTAAGGGTTACCACCGACCTTTTGCCCAAGTTCTAAGGGAATTCTGAAACTTAGTGATGTTGGGCTTGTACTTAGCAAGTCTCCTCTCCCAATCATAGGTACCTGAAAATGTCCCTGTGGTTGGGAGAGGAGAAGAGTAAAGGGCATTTCAGGAACAGAGAACCCAGGTTGTTAGGGTGCCCGAGGAAGGTGGAGAGGGCTCTACGCTTGTCAGTCCTTCAGGCTTCTCAGGAGAGGTGCCCGTTGTGGGAGCAACAGTTGTCTTTTGGTTTTAAAGACTGAGCTCCAGAAAGCTAAGGTCAAAGCCCGAGCAGCTGCCCACCCTGCAGAACCCTTCTCAGAGTAGCAGAGTCAAACCTGCAAGTGGTGCTTCTGAGGCAGCCTTGGGAAGGTCTTTGGGTAGCTGCTGCAGAGGTGAACAGACCAGAAAAGTTTTTATCCTAAATTATTCTCACTTGAAAAAAGAATGAAGTCAGCTTCACATTCTTTCAGCGCTGCTCCCAGAGAAGTCTGTCTGCAAAGGTGTGATGTTGTGGTCATACCCGGCATACTCAGAGGTGCCAGTACTGGCCAGCTTGAGTTGCTGGGCGGCGTGAGTCAGCTGGAATGCAGCATCAGGGTGAGCTGTGTCAGGCAGCAGCGTGCACTCCCTTTCTAGCATGTCAGCCACCCCTTTGAGCAGGTCCAGGAAACCAAAGGCCAAGGCAGCCTTTCGTAAACGGTTCAGCTCCTAAAACAAAAGACACCGATGTTCCTGAAATGTGTTCTCCTCATCACATACTTTGTAAGTGCTCAGCTTAGTATAAGTTCTCCTTGATTCCCAATCTTAAATGAGCGTTTTTATATGAGAACAAGTGCTTGTACAGAGATGCCAATAACAAGAGAGTGTGATGACATGACTGGGAAGTGGTTCCTCTGCGGGTGATCAGAAAGCTAAGGAAGACACAGGTGACTGAAACTCAGGTCATCCTCACCACAGTTCATGAGCACTTAGGCCAAACATGGTGAGGTACTTTGTAGATTCTGCATAGAAATGACATCCTCCTGATCTGAGGTATCTCATTTAGCATTATACCCTCTAGGTCTCTCCACGTTCCTGCATGACCACTTAGGCCAAACATGGTGAGATGCTTTGCATACATCATTTCATGTACTCATAACTCTATGGAGGATACTTTTCCTCCGTTACTCAGGTACAGAAAAGGCTTGCCCCAAACCTCAGAGGGCTCTTACCCTCCGGTGCCTCTCTGGCTGGAGCCTCAGACTGAATGACGATGAGCATGTCTGGAGGAGGCACCGGCGGAGTCAGTAGGTCTGACCCCAAAGATTACCACAAAAGGTTGAGTAGTGGATGGAAGCACAGAAATATGAAATGCCCCATCTATCACTTAGCAGTGTGATCTGGGCAAGCTGTGTAGCCTCTCTGGGTGTCAGTGGCACAAAATGAGGATAACCTCTTCCATGCCCACTGGAAGAGCTGACACAGCCATCTGGTAGAGGCCCTTTCCTGTAGGTTATATAAAACCAGAAAAGAGAAATGGGCTTTCTGACCACCTCTCTACTATCATCTGTTTACAACTGAAAAGTTCAGAGGCCGAAGTACAAGTGTGCCACCCTGAATAGACAGCTCTGCAGGGAGACAGGGACTGCAGCCAAGGAGTAGTCATCAAGGGCCTAGGGCTTCAGTTAGTGGGGGACATGGTGGGCTGGGCAGCTCTCTGGTTGAACTCTGCTTGATTTCACCAGCTCGCTACATTATTAGAAGACATAAAGGTAATAAGATAACACCCAGACAAAGCACATATGTTCTCTGGAAGAGATGCTACCCTGGAGCTGGTGTGTGTACCGTATTTTAAGATTCGCAAGCTAGGACACAATTGCCAATACAGCATACCTCACACTGCCACTTAATTTAATCTCAGCCAAACACCAGAAGGACAGGGGAGAAGCAAGGAGTGACCTTAAATGCCCCTCAACTCCACCCCATCCCTTGTAACTTCATTCCACCAATGGTTCTGCATTAGCTAGGTATGATTCTGGAGGGCCATCCTTTTGCAATTCGTAAATGTGCAATTTTAGAAGTCATTCCTGGAAGCAGATCCTCTGGTACAGTAAGAATGTTCTGAGCAATCACCATCCCTGGAAGTCACATACAATGGTTGCCTGGAGTCAGACTGGATACCCATATGGGAGCAGTGAGGAGGTTTAAGGGCTGTGACCCACAGATCCTTGCAGTTCCTTCCCTCAGCCATTCACAACAGCACCAACGCAGAGAAGACCCGCTGCACAGAACCAGGCCATTTAAACACTTCTGATTCCTGGATTTTAGGGCAGCAACAGACTTATCACTTCTACTGACTTTACTGATGAAAAAACTAAGGCACAAACAAACCATACATTTCTAATCCCTGTCCATGTTCAACGTTACCCTACACTACTGTGAACTGTTTATTTCTGGCACACATCCCAGGGCCCGCCCTCATTCCCTATAATTCTGATAGTCTTACCTTATAGAATGTCTGTGTTTTTTCAGGTAGTTTCCTTGCATTTCTTAAAATCTTCTGTACATCTGTCTATCGAGGGTAAAAAGAATTCAACATTAGAATTCTGTGGTAAAAAGGGAAAGAATACAAAAGGACGGCTTTAAATTAAAAAAATGAAAATGAGAAAAGAGTTACAATGTCAAGATGAGGATCCCTTCTGAGTTAATGTCATTGTTCAACATTAGTAAAGCATCTCCCTCCTTCAAAAGGCTTGATGATAATAAATCCCTTGGTGATAATAATGAACTTGTCACAAAAACACCCCCAGTAAACCCATACATCTATGGCCGCTGCTTTTTGACAAGGGTACCAAGACCATCCAATGGGGGAAAGAACAGTCTCTTTAACAAATGGTGCTTGGATAACTGGATAGCCACCAGCAAAAAAATGAAGTTGGACTCTTACTTCATACCATATACAAAAAATGGACTCAAAATGGATCAAAGGCCTAAATGTAAGAGCTAAAACTATAAAACTCTTTTCATGACAACAGCAGAGCAACAAAAGAAAAAATAAATTTGGCAAATGTTCATAGCAGCATTATTCATAATAGCCAAAAGGTGGAAATAATTCAAAAGTTCACCAACCGAATGAATGGATAAACAAAACGTGGTTTATTTATACAATGGACTATTACTCAGCCATCAAAAGGAAAGAAGTACTGATACATGCTACAACATGAATGAACGTTGAAAACATTATGCTAACTGAAAGAAGTCAAACACAAAAGGCCACGTATAATATGATGCAGTTTATATGAAATATCCAGAACAGGCAAATCCTTATAGACAGAAAGCAGACTAGTGGCTGACAAGAGCTGGGGGAAGAGTGACTTGTTTAGTGGGCATAGGATTTCCTTTTGGGGTGATGAAAATGTTTTGGAACTAGATAGTGGTGATGGCTGTGATTGTACTAAATGCCACTGAATTGTAACTTTAAAATATCTGAAATGGTATATTTTGTTATGTGCACCTCACCATAATGAAACAATACACCCAGATCAAAACAAAATTTAAAAAATAATTTTAGAAAAATTCAGCTCTCTTTCTGACAGGGAAGTGTTGGGGTCAGTGATGGCAAGAAAGAGGGAGAACTTGAATTTCCAACAAAGGGAAGAGGACCCTTAGCCACGGCAGGATGTGTCCAGTCTCCCTGAAAAGGGGGCTGGAAGAGACTATGCCGTCAACAGAAGCTACTTCTGTGGTCAGGTGGCCTGACTGCCTCTTCTCATTTGGCTTAGGTTGGACTCGTGGAAGAACAAAGGAAAAAAAAAAAAAGGAACTCAAATGATAAAAAAGTGATTTTTAAAAATAGGTATAACACTGCTATATTTAAAATGGCCAACGAACGAGGACCTACTGTATAGCACAGGGAACTCTCCTCAATGTTATGTGGCAGCCTGGATGGGAGGGGAGTTTGGGGGAGAACAGATACATGTATATGTACGGCTGAGTCCCTTTGCTGTGCACCTGAAACTAGCACAACATTGTTAATCAGCTATACTCCAACATAAAATAAAGAGTTAAAAAAAATAGGTATAAATGACTAATGGGACAAGGCAGTCACTGAGTATGTTGACTAAAAGCAGCACACCTTGATAACAAGATAATCTTAGCCTCCCATGAAAGTGTCTCTGTGGCATTATAGGGTAATGCTTTGGCTTACCCCGTGGGGATGGAAGAAATAACCACATGAAGATTTTTACATCTTTCTCAAAATTATTATTAAAGATAACACCCATAATGTTATTCAATGACTCACCATGTCAAAACTTTTACATTAAAATTTAATGCCAGAATAATGTGTCTCTCTAGAAGAACTGACATGCTTCCTTTTATCAGACAAGAAGAACCATATAAACAACATGTTTCTTTTTTGACCTTGGTAGCAGGAAGCTCAGAGCCAAATTGCTCAAATACAATTATCATTTTGCCTTGGCTTCCTGAAACAATTGTCTCTCCTCTTCCTCTACGTTTCATATTGCTCTAAATTTTGTAAAAAATGATCCTGCTATGTACGTGTTTTACTGTAGGCCACTTCAAATCCTTTTTGGAAATAATGACAAACATTAGAAGTAAATTAATTACTAAGTATCGAAGGAAAAGAAAATCAAATCAAATGTCCGCCTGCCCGCCAGAATCCCTCCTCCTGTCCCCAGTGGAGAGCAACGTGAATGGTAATGTTACCTGCAGGCCACTGGGTTTGATCCACACGGTCACATTCTGGGCATAACTCCGCTTGTTTTTGGGCTGCAGGGGGAATGGGCTCTTATTATCATCCTCACCATAAGGGTTTTCTTTAGCATCTTAAAAGAAAAAGACATTCTTGAAATGACATCTGGCAAAACACAATCAATTACATTTCCAATTAGGCTAGAAGCTCTTTGAATCATTCAATCTCCTATATCCTGTTACTTCCCTAATTAAGAAAATCCATTAACTTCAGTCAGGTTGGGGAACCTGTTCTCAATACTGATGTCGGACACTAAACAATCAACTGAGACCCATACAAGTGAAAAACAGCTTAATGTTTTTAAAGAAACAAGCTTCACTCATCTGCTTTATAAATTAAGGTCAGAGAGGATAAAATTGTTGTACATACAATAATACTAAAGTATATATAAAAATATATGTATATATACATACTGCAATTCTATATAGCCTAGCCCAGCACTCTCCAACAGAACTTTCTGTGATGAGGAATGGTAGCCATAGCCCATGTGACCACTGAACCCTTGACACATGGCTAGTGTAACAGAGGAACTGAATTTTATTTAATTAAATTTAAAGAGCCTCTGTGGTGAGTGGCTACTGGATTAGACAACATAGGTCTAGGCACTGAGAAAATCTAAAAGTAAAATTACGTATAGCCAAATTATGGAAAAGAGCAAGGGAAAGGACTTCCCTAGTGGTCCAATGGTTAAGAATCCGCCTGCCAATGCAGGGGACACGGGTTCGAGCTCTGGTCCGGGAAGATCCCACATGCTGCGGGGCAACTAAGCCTGTGCGCCACAACTACTGAGCCTGCACTCTAGAGCCCACGAGCCACAACTACTGAGCCTGTGTGCCACAACTACTGAAGCCCATGCACCTAGAGCCTGTCCTCCGCAACAAGAGAAGCCACGGCAAGGAGAAGCCCACACCGCAACAAAGAGTGGCCCCTGCTTGCGCACGGGGTCTACTATATATAAAATAGTTTCTTACAAAATAAGACCAAACAAACGAAAAATGAAAACCAACTTAAAAAAACCAACAACATTAACAAAAAGCAAGCAGGACAGAGATGGGCTTAAGGCCCAGGGTTGGCCTCTGGTGCCGCCCTGAGTCTGCGGGCGGGTGCAAGCTGGGGCGGCCGAGGTGCTCAGTCGCCCTTCTGCTTGGGGGCCTGCACAGCAACGAAAGCCCGCGCGCAGCAATGTCTTAGACCCTGCACAGCCAAAAAAAAAAAAAAAGAGCAAGGGAAGAAATACCTTTTTGGTGAAACATACCTCATCTACGGGTTACTAGTTTATTGCTTCCAAGGATTTAAAGCCATGTTGGTTTTATAGTCATGTGGATAAACAAGGGTTTTTGTTTTTCTACCTATTTCCTAAGTCACTGAAACTCTGTCACAAACTTACAAAGCATACTTGTATCTACTGGTTTATTTTATCTTTATTATCATTTGGGGTAGACAAAGAAGGAATCATTTTCCCAACAAGTCTGGGGAGCTTAAATCCCTTGCTCAAATGTTCATGTTGAAAACTGGAATTAGCCCAGTTTCTCTAACTGACCCATAAGCCCTCTAACCCCAATCTTGTCATTAATTTAGATGCCTTATACTGGCCCCATACTATCTCTGTCAGTCCCCTCTCCTCCTACCCACTCCAAAAAGTAGTGGCTCAGCTTTCCAGACATTTCCACAAATACTTGTCAATACATAAACCTTTCTAGTCAGGCCAAGATCCCAACAGTTGTTTCCCATGCCACATGCTTATTTCCAACTTCCCTGCCACTGTTCCTGTTATCCCCCTGTCTGGAATGCTCTCCTTTCCTCATTTATTTATTCCCTCCCTCACGTACTCATTCATCATCTATAGTAAGACCTCATTATGCAGCAAGCACTGTGCTAGGAAGTGTGGCTAGAGAAGGTATTGTTCGGGCCTCAAGGAACTTACAGAATTTATTAAATGTAATTTATTAAATTACAACTATGTGCAAAATACTTTACACATACAACTTCTCTCCTTACAGCAACCCTAGAGGGTAGATATTATTAGTCTCATTACAGATGAGGAAACTGAGGCTCAGATTTCACAGGGACTCAGCTGGGCCTGGTTTCGAAGATAACACTTCCCCTACTCAACACTGCTGTTCCTCACCTTTCCAAAGTTACTTAAATTCTAGGTCCAGATCCTATCCTACTTTCTCCATGGAGTTGTCCCATATTTTTCTGGTAGACAGTGATTTCTCTAGTCCCTTTTATCCTACAGCACTCAGTGTCAGTACCAAACATTTCAACGTCTAATCGTAGCCTATCTTGTACTGTCTCTAATTGTTTGGAGCCATTATATGTGGTAACCGGCTTAGCAGACATTTATGAAAAAAGAACAAGAGATCTTAGAAATAATAAATATGATAGCAGAAATTTTTTAAAAATCAGTTGCAAGATAAAGTTGAAGATTATTTTATAGAACGTACAACAAAAAATTTAAAAAATGAAAAAAATGGGTAGGGGATGATAAGAAAATTACACACACACACACACACACAAATCATAAACATATGTTCTAGAGAGGGAGAACAGAGAATACAAACAGGGGAGAAATCAAAGACATATTTGTGCTCCCAGGAATGAAGAACATGAATTCCTAGATGAAAGGGCCCACTGAGTCCCCAGCACAATGAGTGAAGAGACCAAAAACTAGGTACATGATTCTGAAAATCTCGAACGCTAGGGACACTAAAAGAGCCTCAAGGTGTGCAGAGGAAACAGAGATCAGTGTCAAAGCCCTGGCAGTCAGCATGGCACTAGACTCTCAGTAGTGACACTGGAAGCCAGAAGAGACAATAGAGTGATGCTTCGAAACTCTAAAGGAAAATGATTCCCAACCTAGAACTCAATATCCAACCACACTATCAATCAAGTGTAAGGGATGAAATACAGACACTTCCACATATGCAAGATTTCAAATGTTCACTTCCCATGTACCCTTTTCTCAGGAGGATGCATGAAACAGGAGAGCCACGGAAGAGCTATGAAGGGAAGACGCGGGATGACAACTATGCAACCAGCCTAGAGAACCACCAGTCCATTCATGAAACAAGAGGGAGGGAGATGACTCCAAGCAAAAAAAAGAAAGAAACTGACAAAAAAATACGTAAAGGATGTATTTTACTTACGGAGGCATTAGTGATAGGTACACAGAAAACAGGAAAGGAAAACAAGAAAAAAGAAGAGAGAAGCAGAGGAAGGCTGCGAGAGAGCCTAGAGTGAGGGCTGCGCTCATCTGCTGCTGGCTCCCCTACAGCCAGGCTGCCCAGCTCTTTCCTGCATCCTCTGAGGAACATCAGTGCCTTTCCAAGAGAGCTTTCCTTTTAATTGAAGTTATAATACATTTATCTTACCTGCTAGAAAAAAGAAATGTCTAATTAAAAAAAAAAGTAGTATCTGGAGTAGGCCACGAAGAGCCGCAAAACAAAGGAAATGTGATGTGGTACACCACACAGCTTAGTAGTAAATAATACTGACTTCACTTAGCAAGGACGGAATACTGATTTACCCAAAAAGAACGCTATAACCACACTGCAAGGATTGAGGAAGGGAAAAATGTGCTTCTTGGGTGGATGAGTGGGGAGGGATGGTAGCGGTAAGAGAGCTAACTAGTTTTCCTTAAAAAGTCAAAAAAATGACCTTTAAAAGAAAAAAAGGTCAAGAAATAGCTGTATACTTATATTATTTAGAAATGTAAGTAAACATCAAAAGAAACAATTAAAATTTGAAAATGGTTGTCTCTAGGAACAGAATTAGGAGAAGGGATAAGTATAAACAGTACTATTTTGCAAGCTTTCCTTTGATTAAAAAACATAATTAAAACAGCAGGGTTTCCCTGGTAGCGCAGTGGTTGGGAGTCCACCTGCCAATGCAGGGGACATGGTTTGGAGCCCTGGTCTGGGAAGATCCCATATGTGGTGGACCAACTAAGCCTGTGCACCACAACTACTAAGCCTGCATTCTAGAGCCCACGAGCCACAACTACTGAGTCTGCATGCCACAACTACTGAAGCCTGCGTGCCTAGAGCCCGTGCTCCGCAACAAGAGAAGCCACCACAATGAGAAGCCCACACACTGCAATGAAGAGTAGCCCCTGCTCGCCACAACTAGAGAAAGCCCACGTGCAGCAACGAAGACCCAATGCAGCCAAAAATAAACAAACAAACAACCATTAAAATGTGCCTACTCTGCGTCAGGTAGCCAATACACATTCCCTCAATAAATTCTCCAACAACCCTCTAAGATAGGTTTTATTATCACTTATTACTTGTTACCATAATGACAATCCCAATTCCCTAGGACAGCGGTGAGAATTAAATGACATGATACATTTCATTTTGTCTAGCACAGTGCCCGGTACAAAGTTAAATTCAAGAGATGTTAGCTCTTATTATCCTCAGGGAAAAGAAGAACAGATAGCGGGAGGAAAAAACAACATGAATACAGGGCTGAGTAAAGAGCAGTTCCATCTGACTTAAGAATATGCGTTAGGACTTCCCTGGTGGCGCAGTGGTTAAGAATCTGCCTGCCAATGCAGGGGACATGGGTTCGATCCCTGGTCTGGGAAGATCCCACATGCCATGGAGCAACTAAGCCCGTGCGCCACAACTACTGAGCCTGCACTCTAGAGCCCGCGAGCCACAACTACTGAGCCCACGTGCCACAACTACTGAAGCCCATGCACCTATAGCCTGTGCTCCGCAACAAGAGAAGCCACCGCAATGAGAAGCCCGTGCACTGCAACGAAGAGTGGCCCCCACTCGCCGCAACTGGAGAGAGCCCGCGCAGCAACGAAGACCCAACACAGCCAAAAATAAATGAATAAATAAATAAATTAAAAAAAAAAAAAGAATACACGTTAACCAGCCAAGCATTGCTAGGTTGGCAGCCAGATCAGAAAGGCATGTGAATGTTACTACCTTAGATTATGGACAGGCAGCTGTGGTGAAAACTCTCACAATAGTCTAGGTTAGGGGTGAGCAAGCTTTTTCTGCAAAGGATCAGACAGCAATATTTTAGGCTTTGTGGGTTATACGGTCTCTGTTGTAAGTACTCAATTCTGCCATTGAAGCGGGAAAGCAGCCATAGATCATATATAAATACATGAGTGTGACTGTGTAATAAAACTGCACAATAAAATTATATTTACCAAATAAGCGGTGGGCTAGTTTGACCTGCAGGCCCTAGTTAGCTGACCTCTGATCTAAGTGAAAGGTAAAAAAAGCCAGAACAAGGCAAGAGCCATGAGAATGAAAAGACAGAATGAATGTAGGAATGCTGTAGAGAGAACAGGTAAAAGAGGTGAAGAATCTCTCTTTCAACAGACACACACACACACACCCCCCCCCCCCAGGTTCTCCTCCAATTCCTGTCCTAACTCTGTCCTCTTGTGGTCAAACTTGGCATTTCCATTTCCTCATCTCTAATTCATTCCCCAACCTGTCTCCTGGCTAACTGTCTGCTGAAACTCTTACAAAGCCACCAAGCATCTCCTATCTGTTAAGATCAAATGACTGTTTTTCTTCCTTTAAATGTGATTTTAAAAATGTTTATTTATTTTATTTTTGGCTGTGTTGGGTCTTTGTTGCTGCGCGCAGGCTTTCTCTAGTTGCGGCGAGCCGGGGCTACTCTTCATTGCGGTGCGTGGGCTTCTCATTGCAGTGGCTTCTCCTGTTGCAGAGCACGGGCTCTAGGCGTGTGGGCTTAGCTGCTCCGCAGCATGTGGGATCTTCCAGGACCAGGGCTTGAACCCATGTCCCCTGAATTGGCCGGGGGGACTCTTAACCACTGCACCACCAGGGAAGTCCCAAGATCAAATGACTCTTGATTCATAGTGTCGTCTTCTTTCCTCTTGGTTTCTATTCCTTTCTAAAACTCTTTAATCATTTAAAACACTCATTCTACAGGCTCTTTCAGATTAAGTCCTCAAGGTGCTATTCCTCCTACTGGTCTTTCTTAAAAGAAGAGAAAATCCTCACAAGATTTTAAAACTTTTTTTCAAATCATGAACTCATTTCCAGTGGGGACTGTTTTTTCTGCAGCACTCTTTTTGCCCTGGTTGCAGAGGAATTCCTACACAGCCATTTATATTAGCTTCTGGAGGATGCACCATGGATTTCATTGCTTCAGGACCAGTTTTTGCACTCTTTGGTTTGGGAATGGGTCATGTCGATCCACATGGTGCAGGACTTGGGCTTCAACTTCTCATAGGAGACTTTTATGTTTCTTTATATGCAGAAAAGTAGGTAGAAACAATGGGTAGAATTTTTCTTATCATCCTCTCACTGAGAGGGTAGACCTTCCATACTCCCAGCTTTACTCAGAGATTTCAGCTCTTTGTCTTTTCTCCTGTTCCTGTGTGAACTTCAAAAGCCCAGCCCCTGGATCCTAGCTCAAGAGTTGGCAAACTATGGCTGGCTGCCTGTTTAAGAATTAAGAATTTTAAAAATATTTTTAAAAGGTTTATGATTGTGCTACAATGGCAGTGTAGTGGTTATGACAAAACCCATAATGGCCTGTAAAATATTTATTATATGGCCCTTTACTGAAAAAGTTTGCTGACCCTTGGCCTAGCTTCTACGGCCTATATTCCATCAAAATCTTCTTTAGGCTTCAATGGCAAAAGACATCCTTCAGACCTTAACTGACATGTATGCCCATGTGTATAAGACATTGTAGGCTGTGTCTCATATGTGCTCATGAGACACTGTACTTCTTTCTTGAATCCCTTTATTCTCTTGGCGTCTGTGACATCCCTTTCTTCTACTTTTTCTCTTTCATCTGCCTCTTCTCATTTTCCTTTACTGGTGCCAATTCCACTGCTGCTAGTAGTTGGTCCTTTTTAGGAGTCTGGTCCTTGGCTCTCTTTTTTCCTTAACGTATATACTTTCCTGAGGCTATGGCTTCTTACAGTGCGGTTATTGACCTGGATTGTAATCACTTGGGTAATATTAAAACTGCAGGGACTTCGCTGGTGGCGCAGTGGTTAAGAATCTGCCTTCCAATGCAGGGGACATGAGTTCGAGCCCTGGTCAGGGAAGATCCCACATGCCACGGAGCAACTAAGCCCGTGCACCACAACTACTGAGCCTGTGCTCTAGAGCCTGGATGCCACAACTACTGAAGCCCGCGTGCCTAGAGCCCGTGCTCCGCAACAAGAGAAGCCACCGCAATGAGAAGCCCGTGCACCGCCACGAAGAGTAGCCCCCGCTCGCGACAACCAGAGGAAGTCCGCACACAGCAACGAAGACCCAGTGCAGCCAAAAATAAATAAATAAATTTATAAAAAAAGAGAAAAAACCCCTGAAAGTTCCTGGCTTGAATCCAGACCAAATGAGTCAGAATCTCTGTAGGTAGGGCCCAGGAAACAGAATTTCTTTTTTAAATATTTATTTTTATTTATTTTTAGTTGCATGGGGTCTTAGTTGCGGCACGTGGGATCTTCATTGAAGCATGCAGGCTCCCTTGTTGCGGCGCGCAGGCTTCTCTCTAGTTGTGGTGTGTGGGTTTTCTCTTCTCTAGTTATGGCGCACAGGCTCCAGGGCGTGAGGGCTCTGGAGTTTGCGGCACGCAGGCTCTCTAGTTGAGGTGCGTGAGCTCAGCAGTTGTGGTGCACGGTCCCAGGTGCCCCGTGGCATGTGGGATCCTAGTTCCCTGACCAGGGATCAAATCTATGTCCCCTGCATTGTAAGGCAGATTCTTTACCACTGGACCACCAGGGAAGTCCCAGGAAACAGAATTTTTAAACAAGTTCTCCAGTTTCACTTTTGTATACCAAAACTCAAATTTGTGAACTATTGCCCTAAGCAATCTCCCTCATTATCATCATTTTAACTATAAACATTATGCTTATAACTAAAAATTATATTTTCAACTCTGCCCTCTCTCCTGAACTCCAGATTCTCACAGGAATTGTTTATAGGCACCTCCACCTAAATCTCACAGGCATAAAAACATGGACAAAAGATGTTCTTCCCAAATCCACTCTTCTTCCTCTGTTCTGTTTCAATTAATAGTACCACCTTTCACCCTATAGCTCCGGTCAGAAACCTGGGATCATTCTCAACTCTTCTCTTTCCTCTATTCTCATATCTAAATACTGTTGTTTCCACCTCCTAAATACCTTTTGCATGGATCCCATCGTCTCTATCGCCAGCCACTGCCCCTGTTCTGCCTTTCATCTTCACAACTCCAGGACTGTCACAGTAGACTTCTAACTACAAGATGCCCTTACCTTTTCAAATCCACACTCCACAGAGTTCTTTTTCTAAATGCAAAATTTATGATCTTTCACTTGGATTTCAGCCATACTGCACAACTCCAGGGGGTACCAGTACCTAGAATACAAAGTCATCTAACTGGTATCTCCACTGTTCTCATTACAGCCAGAAGGATCTGATCATATTACTCCCTTCAGTGGCTTCCCAGCATCTGCAGAATAAAGTCTGAGCTCTTCACGTTTCAGATGAGGCCTGCCCTGCTGTACCACTGCCAGTCTCTAACCTACCATCTGGCCTCCCCACCCCTCCCTTACACTTTGTGCTCCATTTGGGCAGGATGCCCTTTCTGCCTTCACTAGCTCAGCAAATTCCTCTTTTTCTTCAAAACTCAGCTAGGGTGTCTCTTCTCTGTGCAGATTTTCCTGAGTCCTCTAGGCAGAGCTGACCATCCCCTCCTTCAGGCCAACTCTGATCTTGTGCCAGCTCATGTTTATTACGTCACTCTCCGCTAGACTTTGAGTCACTCCTGCTAACTCTTTTAGCCCCCACACCTGGCACAGAATAGGTTGCATGGTAGATGTTCCTAAAATTTAAATGGGCCCAAATAAGTCAAGGGTGACACTACAGCTGGAGCCTGAGTACCCAGGAGTACAAAGGCCTCAATCAGAGGGAGTAGGAAAATCAGAAGAAACAGTTCATGGGGGAAGCGGGGAGAGACAATAGTTTCTGCAATAAACATGCTAAGCTTAGGACTGTGACAGAATATCCAGGTGGAGAGGTCCAAGGGGGAACTGGAAATATAATATGCAAGTTTCAGGGAGAGATCAAGCAGCACCAGAGTCAGAGATTTTTGGGACTCTGAAGCTATAACAGCTGATGAAATAACCAAGAGAGAATAATAACCCAAGAGAAGAAGGCAAAGAACAACACCTTGGGAATCATGAGGCAAGAGGAAGAAAAGACAAGATGACAAGAAAGAAAAGTTGCCAAGGAAAAAGATAAGTACTAGGTGAATGCAATGTTAGGAAAACTAAGGGAAAATAGTTTCAAGAAGGAATGGGATTAAATTATCTATGAATGACTAGGGGTACCTGGGTTGAAAATAGTACACTAAAGAAAAAAGTTTATGGAGAATAGCTTTTCACTCCAAGCATTTAGAGCACTTATTTTTACTTGAAGCAACCTAAATATTTGTTTCCCCTGAGCTGTAAAATTAAAAGTGCAAACATCAAACTCTCTTGGGGTTCTCCATGTACATATCCAGCGTCAGAAACCACAGGGCACTCATAAGGGAAATCACGCAGCTCTCTGACTGCACAGACAGAGCCATTCTGAACAGCAGAGAGAAAACAAAGTCAGGATAAATAAAATCTAATCTGGGTTATACCTGAAATAGGACCCAACTGTGCCATTTTCCCTAGCCATGGGAGAGGTTCTGGGCCAGGCTCAAAGAGAGACATCATGAGGTTTGATTTCTTCTTGCTGTCAGCTTGGGAGTAGAGCATTCCGTGCCATTCAGGACTAGATGGAGAGAAGATGGAAGATCAGAAGAACATCAAGCCTGGGACTGTCAAGTTAAATAACTCTAGCCTGTGTTTTTCTCTTGAGAGACATGGTTTTCAGCTTTGAAATTAGGTGCATTACTTTTACTAAAGTCAAATCCTAAACCTAAAAATGCATACTGATGTCCCCTAATATTACCATTCCTTGGGGACAGGTATTATTATTCAATTATGTAGATATGGAAATCAAAAGCAGTCTTAAAAGAGGAAAAAAAAAATCACAAGGGCAGCAAGTAGCTGCAGGGGTGGTGACAAGTAAGGGCTGAGACCTATAGGTTTTTTCAGCCGCCTCCGAATCATTCACAGCAGTACCACAGAGAGAAGCCCTTCTAACAAAGGGCACAAAGCCATCACCCAGCTCTGCTCCCACTGCTCAAAGGGCCCCAGGTGATTCTCCTACTCAGAGGCAGTACAAGTAGCCTGAGTACCAAGAAATATAGCAAACTGATACCTAATAAGAATTGCATTTTTCTTTCCAGATCAGCTAATTTTAACTCAAGCAGAAAAGGAGCCATGCTTCCTCTGAGCATTCCTAACCTCTTGATTTTCTCTACCAGTCAATCCCAGGTGATGGCCAGAAGATGACCTCTTCTTCTCTGACAACAGGTATTATAGAAAGGGAAGCAGAGAGTTTTGCAGATTTTGAGACTACCGCGAAAAGTGAAAGCTAGAAGGGCTTTCCTCATAGGGAAGGAATACAGCAGAGTGGTTACGGGCATGGGCTATGGAGTCACAATACGTGGATAAGATCCTGGCTCTTTCACTTACTAGCTGTGTGACCTTGAGCAAGTACCATGACTTGCTCTCGAAGCCTCAGTTTCTTCATCTAAGGAATGGGGATAATACTGATACCTCCTGTATAGTGAGGTATACAAAGTGCCTAGAGAAGTACCTGGCACATGGTAAAATGTTCAATGTTAACAGTATGTTTTTTCATTTAGTTTTACCTCCTCATTTTATAGCTGAGGAGTCTGTGCATACTGCATAAGATCCTATAACAAGTTAGTAGCATTACTTAAACTGACCCCAGGTTTCCTAGATAGGATGGAGAAGAGGAAAACTGAGAAAAGATATCATATAAAGGCAATATAATTAAAAGACTCACTCTGTACTTATTCTAGGGGATGCTTTAAAGAGTAGTGTAGAAGGTGATAGTACGTGGGAAGGATATGGCAGAAAGAGAAAAAAAGTGACGAGATCCTTTCTATTCTTTCTTTCAGAAAAGTCTGGGGAATACTTCACTATAAATTGATTCTCCCTTTCACTCAACCAAAGGTAAAAAAGTTTCTTACCCTAATTGAACTATCGCCACCATTCCTTCCACTTTTAGGCTGCCATGGAGCAGGACACAAAAGTTGGGTATTTTGCCTGCAATCTGATTGGCTGAATTTTCATCTTCGTTGTCATCCGTTATACCAGTACCCACCTCATCACCTTCTATGAAAAGAAGAGAAAACCAGTCAGACTGAGATTAGCTACAAAAACTCCAAACTCCAGTTGTACTCTTGGCTCTTTCTAGCCTTGGAAGGAAAGTATACAAAATTATAAAGGACTATTATAACAAATAAGAAAAACTCATATTCTGGTTTTCCTATGTCCAAATAAAAATCAGTTTTCACATGTTATATGAATTTCACTTATATGAAACGTCCAGAAGAGGCAAATCTATACAGATAGGATATCAGTAGTTACCTGAGGCTGAGAGAGATGGAAGGTTATGGGTTGATAGCTAAAAGGTTTCTTTCTGAGGTAGTGAAAATTCTAAAATTCTGATTCAAAAATTGTGGTTATGGTTGCATAACTTTGTAAATACACTAAAAACTACTGAGTTGTACACTTTAAATGGGTGAAATGTACGGTATATGAATTGTATTTCAGTGAAGCTGCTACACAAAAAATCAGCTTTCCATAGTTTCTACTGGAACACTAAGCTAGAGGCTCTCTGGGGGTTTCAGGCACCATCGAAACAGAAACAGATTCAGAGATGTCAAGAGTGTTCTCAACTGACAGCCTTCAGGCAGCACGTGGATGGGATACCCCAAAGAACAGTGACTACTCCATAAGCTTCTTGACTCACTTCTCCAACTCCAGGTTCTCTCATACACTCTGCTGATGAATGAATCTTCCTCCAATTAACTTCCTTCTGGAACTATCTGTGTACTCAAGCTGATTCAAAGACTTTCTAATTCAATAGAAAGATCTTCCTGGTTTAGTCTGACATTCAACAGCCCTTACAACACAGCTCCATTTTGCCTTCCCATACTTTTCTTCCCACTGTTTTCCTATACAAACTCTTCGTTTTGCCCACTTTCTTTCTTGGCAATTTATATGGGCACGCAGAATTCCCAGGACCTTAGGAATAAGGTAAACTCAGTTGTTATCAATATCAATAACAGTAAAGTAAAGTATAAACAAAAGGATCATAATCGGTCATCTGTGAGAACATATCAAAGATTCTGTCTATGAATATGTGATGGAGGGTTATGGAATACCTAACACTCCAACTGAGATAACCATGAGTAAATGGAATGTGGTCATAACTCAGTGAGTGGAAACCTGATTGTATATACTTCTTGGAGAAAGCTGGTGAATATAAAGGAGACGGTCAGCCTAAAACATAGAAAAGAGAAGTTTAAAGTGCTAGAGACTAACATTCTCCAGGGAGATGCTGAACGTAGGAGATATGACTTTATAGTTGCTGGAGAAATACATTCTGCAGTAATGAGGCCTCACAAGGACCTGGATTCATTCACTCATTCAACAGTATTTACTGAGTATCTACTATGTGCTAGGCACCAGTAGAGAACAGGTGTGGTTTCTCCCCTTATAAAGCTGTATTCCACATTTATCAGGCAACCTTCTGAGAACTACTTTGGTTTCCCCAGCATGCTACCACAGGGGAAGGCAGAGCCCAGGATGAGGGACTAAGCACTGTCATCTCTAAAGAGGATTTCCACTGTAAATTAACGAAGCAGCACACAATAAATATGTGTCAAAATGTTTTCCAGGGTTTCCCTGGTGGCGCAGTGGTTGAGAGTCTGCCTGCCGATGCAGGGGACGCGGGTTCGTGCCCCGGTCCGGGAAGATCCCACATGCCGCGGAGCGGTTAGGCCCGTGAGCCATGGCCGCTGAGCCTGCGCGTCCAGAGCCTGTGCTCCGCAACGGGAGAGGCCACAACAGTGAGAGGCCCGCGTACGGCAAAAAAACACCAAAAAACAAAAAAACCAATCTAATAACTACTCTTTTCCCCCAAATTCTGCAAAATGGGCTATTCTACTATCTTACATTTAAGAATAACTTTAGTTAATAAGATACTTCATATGTATCACTGGAATAGGAAGAGAACTCACCTTTGTTAAGTGCTATAGGTAGGACCAGATGTCTGGACAGAACAGGGGGACTTGAAATATCAGCTATATCAATAAATCCCACTATTTCCAAATCTGAAAAGAAGGAATCAACATAGAATTAACTCGTAACAAACAATAAATGCTGGAGACGGTGTGGAGAAAAGGGAACCATCCTACACTGTTGGTGGGAATGTATCAATAAACTGGTACAGCCACTATAGAGAACAGTATGGAGGTTCCTTAAAAAACTAAAAACTGAGCTACCATGTGACCCAGCAATCCCACTCCTGGGCATATATCTGGAGAAATCTGTAAGGATGCATGCACCCCGATGTTCACTGCAGCACTATTTACAATAGCCAGGACATGGAAGCTACCTAAATGTCCATCGACAGAGGAATGGATAAAGAAGATGTGGCACATATATACAATGGAATATTACTCAGCCATAAAAGGAACGAAATAATGCCATTTGCAGTGACATGGATGGACCTAAAGATTGTCATACAGAGTAAAGTAAGTCAGAAAGAGAAAGAAAAATATCGTAAAATATCACTCGTATGTGGAATCTAGAAAAATGGTACAGGACTTCCCTGGTGGTACAGGGGTTAAGAATCCACCTGCCAATACAGGGGACATGGGTTCGATCCCTGGTCTGGGAAGATCCCACAGGCCCCGGAGCAACTAAGCCCACGCATCGCAACTACTGAAGCACGCGCGCCTAGAGCCTGTGCTCTGAAATAAGAGAAGCCACCGCAATAAGAAACCCGCACACCGCAACGAAGAGTAGCTCCCGTTCGCTGCAAGTAGAGAAAGCACACGCCCAGCAACGAAGACCCAATGCATCCAAAAAAAAAAACAAAAAAGAAAAGAAAAATGGTACAGATGAACTTACTTGCAAAGCAGAAAGAGAGACACAGATGTAGAAAACAAACTTATGGTTATCAAGGGGGGAAGGGGGAATGGGATGAATTGGGAGATTGGGATTCACACATATACACTACTGTATATAAAATAGATAACTGGGCTTCTCTGGTGGCGCAGTGGTTGAGAGTCTGCCTGCCGATGCAGGGGACACGGGTTCGTGTCCCGGTCTGGGAGGATCCCACATGCCGCAGAGCGGCTGGGCCCGTAAGCCATGGCCGCTGAGCCTGCGCATCTGGAGCCTGTGCTCTGCAACGAGAGAGGCCACAACAGTGAGAGGCCCGCGTACCGCAAAAAAAAAAAAAAAAAAGATAACTAATGAGAACCTACTGTATAGCACAGCGAACTCTACTCAATGCTCTGTGGTGACCTAAATGGGAAGGAAATCTAAAAAAGAGTGGATATATGTGTATGTGTAACTGATTCACTTTGCTGTACAGCAGAAACTAACACAACATTGTAAAGCAACTATACTCCAAAAAAATTAATTAAAAACAAAGAATGAATTTGTTATGGGAAAGTACATTATTTTCTATGTACTAGATTTCATAAACACAAGGTTTAGATCGGGAATTCAAATATGATGACTAGGAAGGTTATTAGAAGGTTTCTCTGAATGACTCGAATACTTTGCATTTTAAGTAACTAAGAAATTAAGGACAACTGTCTTTTATTTAATGGACTTAAGTTATACGACAAATTAGCTAGACTATTTTTATGAGGCTAGGTGCCCAGCCAAGGCAAAAGCTTAATGGTTAAGTCTCTCTGAATAGTCAGGATGTTCAGGTCACCAGGGGGCGTCATAGTCAAATACTTCCACAACAACTGCAAGCAGCTATGCCTGGAGGGTAAGGCTTTTGCATTAAAACTGTTTCCCTGAGAAAGAAATACATTCTCTACAAAATCAAGGTAGCAGTCTACATATGACAATGGTTTCTTTCCTTTATAGAAGCTGTATTAAAGACCAAAAGTATTTGTTGAAAATCTAAAATAAGTTAAAAAAAAAAAAAAAGTTGTAACCCAAAGAGTACTTTCTGGAAGTTTTTTCTTTTTTTTTTTTTTTTGCTGTTCGCAGGCCTCTCACTGTTGTGGCCTCTCCCGTTGCAGAGCACAGGCTCCGGACGTGCAGGCTCAGCGGCCATGGCTCACGGGCCCAGCCGCTCCACAGCATGTGGGATCTTCCCGGACCGGGGCACGAACCCATCTCCCCTGCATCGGCAGGCGGACTCTCAACCACTGCGCCACCAGGGAAGCCCTGGAAGTTTTTTCTGATTATATAAGTAGTATAAAAACTTAGATAACAAAAAAAAAAAAAAAAAAAACTTAGATAACACTAAAAACTGTAAAGAAGAAAAATAAAGTCACTCATCATTCCTCATCAAAGGAAACCTCTGTTAATATTTTACTGAACTGCTTTTTAGTCTTTCTTCTAGGCATATACACATTCATATTCTCAAAACAATGTTTTAAAAAATCAGGATCATGGTGAGTATACCATAATTCTTATACATCAGGAAATCTGCTTCTCTGGAGTTTTGCTATCATTACCTTCTTTAGCTGAGTAACGAATGAATCAGCATAAGCAGTTATATATTTTTCATCTGAGTAGAAAAAGGCCTATGTTTTAGTGATTTAAATATAAGCTATAACAAAAATCTTGGACTAGAAGCTTTTATAAGTTAGTCCATTAAATAAAGGACAATTATCCTTATTTTCTTAGTTACTTAAAATGAAAAGTATTAGAGTCATTCAGAGAACTTCCAATAACCTTCCTAGTTATCATATTTGAATTCCCCACCTAAACACTGCATTTGTGAAATCTAGTACATAGAAAGTAATGTACTTCTGGGAAGAAAAGATCTATTTGAAGTTACTCATCCTAAAAGGGTGGGAGGGAAGTGGAATATAACTGGTTTGAAGGCAACAAAACATTTGGCACACTGCTGTCTAGTCACAATGAAAGAGATGGATGACCTACTTCCAGCAGGAGCAGAAAATAAAGGCACAGAAAACAAAACAGCCTGTGCACAGCCCTTCACTCGAAAACTCCTTAAAGTCTACACACCCAAGAATGAAATGAATTTCCAGCTGTACTTAATTTTAATCATTTAAAAAATTTTTCATTATATCTTTTATTATTAATTAATTTATTTATTTATTTTTGGCTGCTTTGGGTCTTCGCTGTTGTGTGCGGGCTTTCTCTAGTCGCAGTGAGCAGGGGCTGCTCTTTGTTGTGGTGTGCGGGCTTCTCACTGCGGTGGCTTCTCTTGTTGCGGAGCACGGGCTCTAGGCGCGCAGGCTTCAGTAGTTGTGGCTCATGGGCTCTAGAGCGCAGGCTCAGTAGTTGCGGCGCATGGGCTTGGTTGCTCCGCAGCATGTGGGATCTTCCCAGACCAGCGCTCAAACCCGTGTTCCTTGCACTGGCAGGCGGGTTCTTAACCACTGCGCCACCAGGGAAGTCCAATTTTAATCATTTGTTGATTGAACAATTACCTAGTGAACATCTACTAAGCATCAGACACTAAGCCAGGCACTGAGGGTGTGCAATGGTGACTCAAAACAGTGATGGTTAAACATATACCCACCACTCAAGGAGTCCACCTGCCAATATGAGACAACTCTCTTCTCTACTACCCCTTGTTACTTTTGATTATTGGCTTTGCCAATTTAACCTAAGCATAGCACTGGCAAAATGTTAGAAGCCATAACACATTGCTTTCTTTTAGTCATAATACAAGCTGCAGGATTAGAGGGGTACAATATATCAGAGCTGAGACCTGAGAGACCATCATTTCTCCTAGAGATTCCACTCACCTAGCCAATAAGAACTAGAGGAAGTGACTTGTCCAGGGTCACAGAGGAAAAGTCACACAGCCAAGTCTAAAAGCTAGCTCTTCATATATGACCTTAATAATGATGCTAATCCGTCTTACTATCTCTATTAAGAACTACCTCAAGGATTTCAATGCTAGTGAATCTGGCCCTGGTTTCCAACTCTTAGTAATTTGTGGTTATAATCATCTAGGATTAGAGATTAACTCATGACCTCACCACGGAAGACCACTAATCTGCCACCCCTTAGGCAATGCAACCTCCCATCCAAAGTATACTGACATTTCTTTTCAACCCTCCTGGAGAGAGGAGAGTAAAAGTCAGAAGTTAGAAGAAAGTAGGGATAAGAGAAGAACTAAGAATGAAGTGTAAAAAAAGTTACCTGTGTTAATGACTTTAGGGATAGGATCGATTTCCTCGTCTACAACAAAAGGTTCTGGCCTGGGGAAGACTTGCACATCAGCGGTTAGGTGGCCACACTTGAGAACAGCATGGAAAGGTGTATATGCCAGATCTATCAGTTTTCTAGAATATGATGATTATTTGTTACGAAAGAGTAATATGATATGCATAATTTTTTTCAAGTAATCTTTTTAAGATGTCAAGTTTGTTTTCCCTTCAAGTTGATTCCAAAGCTATGGTCTGACCATTTGTGAAACAGAACAAAATCTGATATTTTTGGTGAGGAAATTTCAATTCTGAAAAGCCCAAAAGCAGTTAAATCTTTGAAATTGCTGTCATTGTAAGGAAGTCAATACCTATAGACATTATAGATTTAGTCATGCTTAATTTAAAAGGGAGTCAACACTCAAAAATCACTACTACCAATCATTTTATCTGAAAAATGTGCAACTTGGGGAAAATGAAATGACACAACTAGAAACAGTAAAATAGATATTATTGTCTGACATCAAATTATAATGCTGGATTGTAAGAAGGCAAAAAAGTATATACTCACCCAAACATAGACTGTACATTTTTCAAGCACAGGGGGCCATCAATAGTAAAAATCTGCCCTTCACCATTGTTTAAATCTATAAGACGTTCAAGGCAATCCAAGGAATCAGTGCTCTGAAGCTACAAAGCAAAATAGATGACTCTTCTAAAGTGGCATAAAATGCCAGATTGTTATCAGTACACTAAGGTCACAAAACAAAGATGATTTTTTTTAATAATGTGAGAAGGAAAATAACTAACAATTTTGACTCAAGGTTACCAAAGAGGAATGTTATATAAAATTATACCAGTAGAGCTATTTCATTCCAAGTAGTTTTGCAAAGATTCAGAGGTGACCACAGTTGGTATTCACATAGCACCTTCCCTTCCAAGTGTTTCTAACATATTTTGGTAAGAACCATCATTATTTATATTTTAAAGATAGAAAAACTGAGGTGAAGAAAAGTTAAATAACTTTCCAAAATAAATGGGAAAACCAGGAGATAAGAGTTTAATAAAACATACATCAGAGTAATGTTACTTAACAACAACAAAAAATTAAAGCACACTTCTGTCAACATTTCTGGTGTGATGGACGTAAGAATTCCTAAGTGAGGGAAACACCTAACACGAAAAAGAACATTCTGTCTCTGTAGCATCTGAAGAATCTTTGTGGGAAGTAGGACGGATAACAACTCCAGCTATGTTTCCTGAGATGTGGCAACACTCTGCTTTCAGAAAGCATTTGAGACATAGAGTCTTTTCAAATATAATCAGTAATTAGTGTCAGTTGAAACAATGGAGTTCAATGTTATACTATAGGCATGCCTCATTTATTGAGTTTCGCAGATATTGCCTTTTTTTTTAAACAAAGGTCTGTGGCAAACCTGTGTCGAGCAATTTTATTGGCACAATTTTTCCACAGGATTTCCTCACTTTGTCTCTGTGTCACATTTTGGTAATTCTCGCAATATTTCAAACCCTCCACCAGCAAAAAGATTACAACTTGTTGAAGGCTCAGATGATGGTTAGCACTCTTTGGCAATAAAATATTTTAAAAATAAGGTATGTACATTGGTTTTTTTTAGACAGTGCTATTTATTGCACTCTTAATAGACAACAGTATAGTACAAACAAAGCTTTTATATGCACTGGGAAAAAAAGAAATTAATGCGACTTGCTTTATTGTGATCCCCGCTTTATAGTGGTGGTCTGGAATGGAACCTGCAATATCTCCGAGACATGCCTGTATATGTAATATAATATTAATGGAATATACTAAAAAATATATTCCATTTCTGAGTCCTAAAATGTATCTAATCAAACTAAAAAGAACTTAGTAGAAAGCATTACCTCCTCCAGATTTGCCATGCACATGATGTATAACTTAGATGGGAAAGGAAAAGGTAGTGGGAACCTGTTGCTCTCACTGCGTTGGCTGTGAGTAGCTAGGGAGTGCCGCAGTGACCCTCTACCAATGCCAAGACAGCCATCTGTCACCAGAACAACCTGTTTGCAAAAAGGGAGAGGAGTTTTGTACATGAAATAACATATTTATTTAAAGCAGTCTCATTTGGCAATGTTTTCATTTCTCCCTAATTGCATTTACACTGAAAAATGTACCTCTGCAGGAATACAAACAAAGATGTGAATAAATCTCAACAACATTTGTCAAGTGAAAGATGACAGACACATTGTATTGATACGATTCTACACATATATATTAAGTTCAGACCACGTAAAACAAAACTAAGATAAATCAAATAGGGGTTGTAGGGTGATACTGAGTAGAAAGGGGCATGAGAAAACTCTGTAGGGTAATGGAAATGTTCTATATCTTAACTGGAGGAGTGGTTACATAGGTATATACATTTGTGAAAACTCAGTAAACTGTATACTTCAGATCTATGCATTTTACTGTATTTTATCTTATTAAACCTTTAAAAAAAGCACCTACCTATGAACACTTAAAAAAAAGACAAAACCATTCATAACCAATTCTTACTTAATTGTATTAAAACTAGAACCCTATCTCTTAGAGAAGGAGTTGGCACCTAAGACACTGGTGTCAAAAATGGCATAAAGGGTACTTCCCTGGTGGTCTAGCGGTAAAGAATCTGCCTTCCAATGCAGGGGACACGGGTTCGATCCCTGGTTGGGGAACTAAGATCCCACATGCCCTGGGGCAACTAAGCTCACGTGCCCTGGAGCCTGCACACCACAAAGAGAGAGAGGCCCGCGCACCGCAACAAAAAGATCCTGCATGCTGCAACTAAGACCTGAAGCAGCAGAAAAAGAAAAAAAATGGCATAAGGACCTATTTTACGTGTGTCCCTAGGAAATACCAGCACAGAAGTCTGAAGACTGAACCTTGACACTTTATTTTCAAAGATGACAAACTTTACCTACCCCTGCTCAACTAAAATGACAACTGCATTAAATATGTATAAAAGCCATTTAACCAGACATGGACAAGACCTTTAAAATGCATTCTTAATCAACCGATAATTTTTAAAAGCCTTCAAAACATACCAACAATAGACATTAGTTACAAATCATTTTCCTTTTCCTCACTGTTTAAAGCAATCCTTGGGAAGTCCTGGGTGGACTTCCCAAGAAATCCAGGGGAGGATTGTTTTTGCTCTCCCTAGCCTAGCCTAGTAACTTAACAATAACAGACCAGTAAGGCAGTATCAGGTGGTTGCACCATGTGAAGTGCCAAGACTGACACTTACTTCTAAAGCCCAAGAATGCTTAATAGAGGTCCCCTGGAGAGATGTCATCTCTTAGGAAGACAGTCAAGGCAAATCCCTCTTCTAGGTACCAACAATTGCTACATAATGATTTACTTCTGCCACTAGCTTTTTCAGATGCTGTGTGATAATGAAATATTTCTTGTAATGTCAAAATGAGACAGACTTTACTCAGATAATGAAAACATAGTCCAGCTCTTTAAAAACTTGGTTAAAAACATTCCACATTAAAACAAGTCTGTTTGATAGTAACTGATTATAAAAACAATCACTAATAACGTCCACCGTGTTTTGGACCTGGTTCACCCCAAAACTCACCAAGCAAGTCTAAGTGGATCCAGGCCCAGCTCCTTCCCCTCAGGGTACAGTGTATCTCAAATTCAGATTCCTCCTTTTTGCAAAGGAAGAAAAAAATATTAAAAGGCAGAAGTCTGCATGGTGCACAAGGTCTGGCTCTTATGTGTTTTCTGAGTTTCTTCTCTAAAACCACTGAAGAAGTAGCAAATGAAACTGTGCTACCTGCTAGCTTCCAGTTCAGAAGATATTGACAACAAAACTTCACTTATTCTTTATATTGCTAGGAAATTAGACAGTCTGTATGCATGGCTTTACGAAATAATGTTTATGAAGCAAGGTGCCAAAGGTTTTTATTTCTGAAAGGAAACTGATCAAAAGGTATTTACTGGCTTTTTTAGCAAGTGTCCACTAAAGTGATCTGATTTTTAACCTTTTAGTAGTAGCTCAGGGTCTTCACTAACCCATGAGTTCAAACTGTATAAAATAACTCAACTACCTGAGTAAGAAAAAACAGTAAGAAAAAACAAAAAAGCTTAAAAAAAAAAAAGCTGGGTTTATTGAGATATAATTCATAAGCAACAAAATTCACCCTTTTTAGTATATAGTTCTATGAGTTCCGACAAATGCATTCAGTGATGTAACCACTTCTACTATCAAGATACAGACCAGTTCCATCACTTCTCATATTCCCTCATGTTTTATTTGGGTCAGCCCCTAACCTTTCCTCACCCCAAGGTAGCCACAATCTTATACTTATTTAAAAAACAAATATCGGTGATGCTACTGACACTACTGAGGAATCCCGTATTTGACCCTATAATAAAAAATCATATACTATGGCCCACTGCCTGTTTCTGTAAATAAAGTTTTACTGGAACAGAGCCATGCCCATTTATTTACTTATTACCCGTGACTGCTTTCATGCTATGACAACAGAGTTGAGGAATTGCCACTGACACCCGCAAAGCCTAAAATACGGAAAAAGTTTGCTGATTCCTGTTGTAGACTATTATGATTTTCCTTTTAGCAACTTTTCTGTTTTCTCCTTTAAAATATGCTACCACTTCTCAAAGCACCCGTTTATAGCAAACTTCCAATTGCTACAACTCTGCTCTGATTTGATGCTATATGTGGACCTATTGTGGACTCTTAAGGGCAACAGATTTTATGACATACACCTCACTTTTTAGACAACCCAGGTAGTTGAGAAGGTTAAAAGTCTGCTGAATAAATGCTACACTGGAATAATGAAGACAGACTATATTGTACTGATGTTTACAATTATATCACTCAAAATTATAATCGCCCCTTCCAGGGGGTGTTCTAAAATTCCACTGTGAGCCCTTTGTGTTTTATACAAACAATGCTAGTTTGAGGTTAAGTCAATTTACTAGGAGGATGCTTTCCTTAAGGCATATTTGTGCTGCTTTCTGAATATATTAGTGTTGATTTAGTGCCTTCTTTTAAAAAGATACCAAAAGTGTATAATATAGTTTGTGGAAATTACAATGTATGCTGTGTCAGAGCCTGAACAAAAATGAAGCGCCTCAGTGGTTAATGTTTTTAACTTAGGGCAAAGAAAAAGAATTGATCATTACCTGACAAGGAATTGTACCACCCCATTCTTGCTGAACGATATTGCAAACACCAACTAATGCAGACTCCAAGCAGGTTTTATCATAATCATCCATATTACTTAGTGCTTCCTGATTGAATGAAAGATAAAATTGCTCATTATTATTTACTGTTTTAATTTGTTACCAGAAAAAAACATAAACTGTTCAAAGCATGAATGTTACACAGGGGACATTGTGTTTCTGAGAGCCCAAAGCATACATTCTTAAAGAAAAATGGTAAAACAGATTTCCTCAACTGTAAAGGATGATTAAAAGAGCTTCCCTGGGCTTCCCTGGTGGCTCAGTGGTTGAGAGTCTGCCTGCCGATGCAGGGGACACGGGTTCGTGCCCTGGTCCGGGAAGATCCCACATGCTGCGGAGCGGCTGGGCCCGTGAGCCATGGCCCCTGAGCCTGCACGTCCGGAGCCTGTGCTCTGCAACGGGAGAGGCCACAACAGTGAGAGGCCCGCGTACCACCACAAAAAAAAAAAAAAAAAAAGAGCTTCCCTTTATTCTGTTCTCTCATCAGGTGAGAGTGAATTGTCCATCAAGTTCATATCTTTATTAAGTGGACCTTGAAAGAAATAATTAAAATGAAAAACGTTTAAAGACATCACAAAAATAATGACAAAACTTACTGAATACTATCATCATTCTAGGCATTTTACATGCATTTAATCATGACAACATCCTATAACGCAGCGGTCCCCAACCGTTTTGGTACCAGGCACCAGTTTCGTGGAAGACAGTTTTTCCAGACAGGGGGTGGTTAAGGCGGTAATGTGAGCGATGGGGAACGGCAGATGAAGCTTTGCTGGCTGCCCACTCCTCACCTCCCGCTGTGTGGCTGGGGGTGGGGGTTGGGGACCCCTGCTATAAGGTATAGATAATGAATCTATTTTTATTTTATTTTAAGAAAATTTTATTTATTTATTTTTGGCTGCGTTGGGTCTTCGTTGCTGTGCACGGGCTTTCTCTAGTTGCGGTGAGCGGGGGCTACTCTTTGTTGCGGTGTGCAGGCTTCTCATTGCGGTGGTTTCTCTTGTTGCGGAGCACGGGCTCTAGGTGTGTGGGCTTCAGTAGTTGTGGCAAGCAGGCTTCAGTGGTTGTGGCACGCAGGCTTCAGTAGTTGTGGCTCACGGGCTCTAGAGCGCAGGCTCAGTAGTTGTGGTGCACAGGCTTAGTTGCTCTGCGGCATGTGGGATCTTCCCGGACCAGGGCTTGAACCCGTGTCCCCTGCATTGGCAGGCGGATTCTTAACCACTGCGTCACCAGGGAAGCCCAATTAACCTATTTTTAAAATAAGGAAACTGAGGTACAAAACAATTAGGTCACTTTCCCAGGTCTTACACCTAGAAGTGGCAGAATCTAGATTTGAACCCAGTCAGTCAGACTCCAGGACTCAACCATTACTCTTCACTACCTATATAGCAATTCTTTAAATTTCAGAACTGCTGAACATCCAAGATCCTTAGTTTACTCATCTATAAGAAATCCAGTGCAATTAAAAAATGAAAAAAAAAAAAGCTTTTGAGTCACTCAAAAAAACGTGAGATAGGGACTTCCCTGGTGGTCCAGTGGGTAAGACTCCATGCTCCCAATGCAGGGGGCCTGGGTTCGACCTCTGGTCAGCGAACTAGATCCCACATTCATGCTGTAACTAAGAGTTCACGTGCCGCAACGAAGAGTCCACACGCCAAAACTAAGAAGCCCACATGCTGCAACTGAGACTCTGCATTCCACAACTAAGGGTCTGCATGCTGCAACTGAAAGTTCACATGCTGCAACTAAGACCCGGTGCAGCCAAAATAAATAAATAAATAGATTTTTTTTAAAAATGTGAGATAATAAATGATTTAACAAAATTTTATTATGTTTTAAAAAGCAAACTATACTGATCCTGGATTCCTAAACTGCCTAGCAACTATTAAACTGTTCATTTTAATTCCACAAACACTTACTGACTGCTCACTATGGGCAAGGAACTGTGCTAGGTATTGTTGGAAATAGTAATAATTTAGAGATGTTGTCAGAAAGTAATTCTTTGGCGTATCACAGACAACACCTTTGGAAGGTAACACCTATCAATCAAGGTTTTAAAATGATTTCTTGGCATCTGTAAATCAAAGGCTATTTGTTGAGGAGGAAATATACTCCTGAATTACTCTAGAATAAGGATTTTATAAGGAAGCACTATTTTTCTTTTTTTAAAATTTATTTATTTTGGCTGTGTTGGGTCTTCATTGCTGCACGTGGGGTTTCTCTAGTTGCAGCAAGCGGTGGCTACTCTTTGTTGTGGTGCATGGGTTTCTCCTTGCGGTGGCTTTTCTCATTGCGTAGCACGGGCTCTAGGTACATGGGCTCAGTAGCTGTGGCTTGCAGGCTCAGTAGTTGTGCCGCATGGGCTTAGTTGCTCCACGGTATGTGGGATCTTCTCGGACCAGGGCTCAAACCCGTGTCCCTTGCATTGGTAGGCGGATTCTTAATCACTGAGCCACCAGGGAAGTCCCTGGAAGGACTGTTTTTCATCTCAAGTTTTATAGAAAAGTAGAAAAGTGTTGAACCTAAAGATCCTGAACTTTAGGGGACAGGGCACTACATCCTGAGATGCTCCCCTCCCACAGGGAATTCCAGAAAACCAAAAGAGGAGGCTACAGCAACAACTCACAGCTCTAACTCATAGCTCTACCAAAGGCAGAAGGCCTACTGGTTATGAATCCTTGTTTTACAGTTATACTCAGGTATTATACCCATAGACTTATCTTTAAATAATTCCAGTTCTAAATATTCAGTGCAATATGATAATACTGTTTTCCTTCCTATAAATTGGGCCCGGTACATACAATAACTCATTCCTTTTTGTACCTGTAGGGTGTTATAATCTCTTGTGAAGGGAACCATCAATTCCCAGAGTGATGAAAAAACCACCAGAGCTGTAAACTCAAGCTTGTAATTTGTGGCCATGTGTTCAAACAGCATTGTCAAACCATGGGCTGCCAGGTGCTTGCGCTGATACTCCTCGGACCCCTCGATAGACACAGGTCGGGTCATGGAAAGGGATACGTCCATTACCACCACTGTAGGCATGATGAAAGTGATCCCAGTGTTCCCAGTCAGAATGTAAACAGATAGCTATAGATAGAGAAATGCTGTAGAAAATAAATATGATTAGGTCTTGCATGTCATGGAGAGAAAAAAGTATTTTTTTAATCATAATTTTAACCTAACTTTCCAGAAATAAGTGAAGGCAAACCCCATCTAAGTTGAGGTGAGGACAAATCTGCAGGGAATTCAGTGGGAGGGAAGCAAGCAGCTTAGTTCACTGTGAGGACCACTCCTAGAATCACCCACTAAATGGCCATAAATCAAGGACCATCTTAAATGTTTCTAGTAAAAACAAAATAAAACAAAATATTAAATTCAGGGAGCTCTTGAGTTGAATACTTTCAAATCTTACACAACTTAATATAACAAACACTCCTACATCACCTCTCTGACACTTAATTTACTAAAGAACATTTCTAGTTGTCTTATGGTGGTACTTTTTGACAATCAACCATTCTTTTTGGGCACCTTCACTATCTTACTCAATACAGCAGTATTTGGGCAAGTGTTTGCTGAATTATCTTGTTGCCTAATGTCCTTTTTTAAAAAATTAAAATGAACGCAAAATATAAAAACAAAAAGTCGGGCTTCCCTGGTGGCAGAGTAGTTAAGAATCTGCCTGCCAATGGAGGGGACACAGGTTCGAGCCCTGGTCCGGGAAGATCCCACATGCTGCAGAGCAACTAAGCCTGTGCACCACAACTACTGAGCCTGTGCTCTAGAGCCCATGAGCCACAGATACTGAGCCCAGGTGCCACAACTACTGAAGCCCATGCGCCTACAGCCCGTGCTCCGCAACAAGAGAAGCCACCGCAATGAGAAGCCCGCGCACCGCAACAAAGAGTAGCCCCCACGGGCCGAAACGAGAGAAAAGCCTGCACGCAGCAACGAAGACCCAACGCAACCAAAAATAAATAAATAAAATAAAATTAATTAATTAAAAAAAAGAAAAGGCTAGTAAAGTCATAGTCCAAATTAGACAAAGCTGGAAACCATTAAGCATGACAAAACCAACAAACTGCTAGCCTCAGTAGTACTCACTGCAGATAAACGAGGCAACAGCTCTTTATCTATGAAGGAAAAGAGCAAAATTAAAGAATATGTATGACAGCTGGCAGTATCTCATGAAACTGTATAAAAGTCAAAATGTAGAAGAAATGGAGAAAACAAAGAGCTTTTTAAAATTATGGATTGAGAATTAGCATGAAGAAAACATTTCTGTGCTCAAAAATAAAGAAAAAAGTTCCCAGATATACAGATCTGCTCTTGCTGCTGCTGCTACTCTATTATTAAGCAAACTATAGTCTACTCACACAATTAAATATCATATAGCTATAAATAATTGATACGTATACAGATATCAGAAATATTTATATAGGTATTAGTAACTGAGAAAAGCAGGTCACAGGCCTGTATGTATACACCGATTACAACTTCATAAAAATCATACTGCATATATTGCATATATACAATTTTGCATATATACAATTAGAGAACACTCAGGATGGACATAAACAAGTTGGAAATTTAATGTTCACTAATTTCTTTTTTGGAACTTACTTCAAAACACTTAACAGTGGCCAGAGGGCTTGTTTTAGTACAGTGTCCAACTGCAAACGTGTGTTATTCTAAAATTCCATTTGTAAGTAGGCTGTTGGGAACTCTGAGCATATTGCCTCACAGAAACAATGTTATAAATGGGGATCAGGGACTCATGTCAAGTAGGAAAAGCCTTTTTACCACATAATGGCCTTTCAAATACAAATGCCTCATGTATCCAACATCGATAAAGACTAAAGGAGATATATAAATTACTCTTCCAGACTCCTTTCCACAATGTTTAACCATTTTGATAGAAAAAAACTAAAATGTGGGATTCCCTGGTGGTGCAGTGGTTTAAGAATCTGCCTGCCAATGCAGGGGACACGGATTCGAGCCCTGGTCTGGGAAGATCCCACATGCCGCGGAGTAGCTAAGCCCGCGCACCGTAACTACTGAGCCTGCGCTCTAGAGCTCGCGAGCCACAGCTACTGAGCCCACGTGCCACAACTACTGAAGCCCGCACACCTAGAGTCCGTGCTCCACAATGAGAAGCCACCACAATGAGAATCTTGTGCACCGCAACCAGTGGCCCCGCTCTTCACAACCAGAGAAAAGCCGACGCACAGCAACGAAGACCCAACGCAGCCAAAAATAAATTTATTTTTAAAAAAAACCAAGGGGCTTCCCTGGTGGCGCAGTGGTTGAGAGTCCGCCTGCCGATGCAGGGGACACAGGTTCGTGCCCCGGTCTGGGCAGATCCCACGTGCCGCTGAGCAGCTGGGCCCGTGAGCCATGGCCGCTGAGTCTGCGCATCCAGAGCCCGTGCTCCGCAACGGGAGAGGCCACAACAGTGAGAGGCCCGCGGACCGCAAAAAGAAAAAAACAAAAAAAACCCCCAAAATGTGCATCCTTATTCTGCGCCTCATTAAGCACAGCATGTTAAACATAATTCACTCTGACTTAGCATCACAACTCTGAACACCAATACTGCCCAGCACGCTGCTGCCCTCATGTTTTAATTTATACCAGCATTCTCCCAAGTGTGTGCTGCACAACACTGCCCTGGAGGGATGCGCCAAGAAAAATGAGTTCAGGTCTTATTAAAGGCACTGAGAAGCTCTATAGCAAAGAATCCAGTTTGTTAACTCTGTGTTTCCCATTTAACCCTTCTCTGACCATTAGTTGATGCCATGGAACAGGTATATAGAACATACCCAGAAACACTGCCTTGTACTCAAGGGATCCAGGCTGTTGTGTTCTGTTTTGGTGCCTCCTCTTTGTAACTAAGTTTTGGACCATCATTTTGCATCCCACTTTTCTCTGTAATCATCCTCCCTCTTTCCGATTTGTTGCTTTTTGGCTACTATGAGCTGGAAAGCCAGGTAATCCAGCTTGCTAAAACTGTGTCCGAAGTCAAAGTTAACAGGCTCTGAGAGCCTGTGAATTTCTTCTGCTGTCACGTGCATGTGCTTAGGCGTTATCAACTTGGTGCTATTTCATCTACTCAGTCTTTCCAGACCCTTTCTGGGTCTCAGCTGTGTTGTTCAAGAAGTGAGGTCCTGTGCAATACTGGTTCAACTACACTACATTAGACGATAAGCTCAAGAGCAGGGACAGTGTGAGATTCTGCCCACCAATGTCTCCTTAGAACCTATCACAGCAGTGGGCACACAGTATGCACTTGACAAATACTTGATAATGACAAGTAAACTACCTCTCAGCACCAGATGTAACATTAATTTTTTGGCAAAACACATTACAAATTTTAACTCTGGACACCAGAAACACACTTCCTCCTCTCCTCGTTCAAGCAGAGATATCAGGAACTCCTATGCCTCTACCCACGTATAGAGTTTATCCAGCTCCTATGGTATTCCCATTCAGGCACAGAGGTCTTTACGTTACTGAAAGCTGGGGATGCGGAGTACTGGCCTCATCTCTTAGGAGAATGAGAATCAGGATACACAGATTTAGATTATATATAAGAAAGCATTTCCAGCTCATGAAATCTGCTGTAACACTGGAATGGGTGACCATAGCTGGCAGGCTTGCATTCTGGGAAGACACTTATGGAGCTGGCTCTTTCTTCAGACTGATGCATTTGTGTCCACCCCCAAACACACCTTCCTAACAATGGCAAAGTCATGGGAAACCAATTTAGAACTCCGGTTGTCAGCACAGAAGTAAAAGATGGATGGATGTTCTTGAAGGATGGTTCACTCAAGTAGCCTAGGCCTGATTTAAAAAAAAAAAAAAATCCCTGCCCACACAGTCCAGCAATTTTGTGAAAACACCATGTTACTTCTCTCTTGGGTTGACTCTTACCCTAAGGTCCTCCACCCCACCCCCATAGCCTTCTCGTAAGTACAGTTTACATACAATGCTTAAGACAACTAGTGGTCTTCTTTTCTCAAGAACAGTCCACTCCTGAGAATAGCCCTTAGCCCCTTGATTTGGTCATCTCCATTAGCTACACATTTATAATTCTTCCCAGAAGGAGACAATTAGCTCGTTCATAAAGAAGTGATTCTGAGGAGTATCGCTCTTAAAGCGTGATTCCACTCGAATTTCTAGGGATCCGCTAACCTACTCTTAAGTTTGTCTGTTGGCCTCACATCTCTTGCCCGGATGAGTCCCCTCCACCGTTCCCGTTACAACTTCACCTCTAAAGTGCCAACCTGTAAACACAGAACTCCTGCATTTGGATCGCGTCTGCCTGGGGATGTATTTTTACCTTAAAATCAGTCAAAAATCTTTAAGATCTGGAAGTCTCTTATGGGAAGAGGAGGCGAAGGGGGCCTGGGTAAGGGGCCGACATCGTGGTGCTTGTGCGGAGCTCTGGCGCGGCAGAGCGAAGGGAGAACGAAGGCAGTGGCCCGGAACTGGCGCCGCAGAGACGGCGCGGGGCGGCCACCTCGGCGGCGGAAAGGCCGGGCGTCGGCCCCGCGTTGTTCCCCGCCGCCGACCCCTTCTCCTGCAGCTCCAACAAGCAATCCAAGACAGCCTACGGTCTCCAGCGCCCTCTACTCACCCCGCGCCCATCACCGGTACGGTCCGTCACCAAATCCTTTCCGCCAGCGCGCCGCAGCCGGAAGTATATGGCCGCGCGACGAAACGGAACTCGGCGCCGGGTGTGCGCTAGGCGCTTGGGGCGGGGCTTTAAGGACGTCGTGGGTGGGGCGTTGACTGCGCGGAGAAGCTTCCCGGTGCGTCTTCCTCAGCGCTTCTCTTCGCAGCGTTTTGTCTGCGACCACCGCCACGACCACACTCCCCACGTAGTCCCCAACTGCGCCGGGCCTGGGCTGTGTTCGCCTCTTCTCTCCCTCCTCGTTCTCGGGCTCTTCCTTATTTGTTTCTGGCCTCCTGCCCACCTGCCTCTCGTTGGCCCGTGGGCTTCACCTGTCTGGGTAACCCCGTGACCAATTCACACTGTCTCCTCACTCACCTGGGCTCGTTGGTGCACCAGCCTGACCCTCACTGATATTTGCCCCTCTTCCCCGTCCCTCTTCAGACCCCTCCTCTGAACTAGTTGACAGAATCCTCTTCCTACTCTATAAATTGTAATTCCTGCCTGAGGAGTGCTCATACTGAGCTGTGTATTTTTCGTAGCTGACGTGAGCCAGTTTCCACGTCAAGGCTTTCCCTCTTGGTCTCCTCAGCCCGGATGCTCACTTTATCCCCGACCCCTTTGAGGGAAGTAGAGGGAGAGTTCAGTCAGTTCCCCTGCCTTGGCCAAGGTGCGCTGCTGAGGGATTTGCACTTAGGCTTTCCTGTGAGTCATCATGGGCCCTCGCGTACCTCACCTCTCGCCACTTGGTGTCCCCATAGCAGCCTGTGCCTCAGCGAGGTCCTTGAGGGGACAAGGAGTGACTTGCTTTCTGACCTCTTAGAGAGCTAGCAAATGCCAGCTAGAGGTAGGCCTGAATGGATGCCAGCAGGCCCCTGGGTAGTTATGGTTCAAAAAACAATGCTGTACCACATAGGTTACAAGTGGGAACAGAAAGGCCTCTAGAGGGCTTTAGGCCTTTGCCTCCTTTTCTTCTGGTTGGTGGGAGGGGGTGAGGTAGGAGGTGGGTCAAGGAGGGAGGATGCTTTGAACCGAACAACTGAGTCTGTCTGACTTGTTCTGTGGGAGAGTGTGGGCTTGTAGTTCTTTCCTGTCCCCTCCTTATATCAGACGTGGCAGAGGAAGGCGCATCACTCCATGGGAATGACCCTGTCAGCATCAGGGCCCAGGGGCAGGCAGACTGCCCTATTTGCTTCAGAACTTCTCTCCCCAACTTGGCTGGTTTCACCATCTCAAGACCCTTTTATGCTTGAGCAGGCACTGGAATCTAGGTAAGTAAGGCTGCATTCTGATTACTTCGTTGTAGTTTCTTATTCTTTCCCTAGTGGGAGGGATGTGGCCAAGAACGTGTGGGCAAGGGAATTTTCGAGCTACCCCTAATGGGATGATGACTTAGCCCTGCGGTCACTGTTCTCCTGGTAGTTCCAGCTCAGCTCCATGGACTGATTCATTACCTTACCCAGTCCTAAAGATTAAGTTTATTAGTTTGCTGATGGGTGATCACATCTTCTAGTTCTTCTGAATACAGGCTTTCAGGAGACCAGGGAAGCAAAAGGCAATCGGTTAAAACTGATGATAAAAGGTAGGACTACCAAGAGGACCACATCACTTAGGGCAAATGGTAAGTGCTTTTGTTTTTGTTTTTTAATTCTTAGTAGAATCCCATTAAAAATCAAAAGGTCGTTGAGTGAATATAAAATCAGAGAACATTAGCACAAAGAGTTAGAAGGTCTTAAAGGAGAGGTCTTTCAAGCCATAGCTGGCTAATAAATTTCTTTTTCCCACTCAAGAGACCCTTAGCATTTGCATGTTTCCACACATACATTAAAGGAAATCGGTAAACAACTTCCTTTGCATAATCTATCATTCCCTTTATTTTTTCCTGCTTTGAAACAGTAGACAGCTGTCACAGAGGCTTTGAAAGGGAGAGTGATTTGGTCTCCAGTCTGGCAGAGTAAAGGTTAGTGACAGAAATAGCAAGCTGCTCACAGAAGCCATGTACTGGGGTTCAAGGGAGGTTCATATACCCATCCAGTTCTCCAACGCACGTGTTGAAAATGTAGATTCCCAGGCCATGCTGACTGAATTGGAATTTCATGGGTTGGTGCCTGGAATCTTCATTGTTAAGTTCCCAAGATGATTTCCTTCCTCACCTACAGAGAGGAAGGGTAAGGAGTGAGTGAGTGAGGAAAAGGGGAAGAGAGAGGTTAGGGGAAGGTGGTGAGCCCACATTCCTTTTCTGTTCTTCCCTCCCTTTCCATTTTCGGTGCTGTCCTTTGCCCTATGTCTTCCTTCCTGCCTCCTCTAGTCTGGACCATGTCCACTTCCAAATCATACTTCCAAGCTCCAGGCTATCTGCTTTCCCTCATCATCCTACCCCATTCCTCTATTTTCACCAAAGTGAAAGTCCAAAGAAATTGTAGATATGACCCTTTTGTCTTCTTAAAAATTTTTATTATTGAAGATTTTCAAACATAGACAAAGATAGGGGAATAGCATAATAAATCCCCATGTACCCTTCACCCTATTTCTACTATCAACTCAATTCTCAGTCTTGTTCCATTTATACCCCTACCCACTTCTCCCCAACATATTGTTTTGATACAGATCACAGACAGCATAACATCTTGTCCGTAAGTATTTCATTATGTAGCGTAACATCTTGTCCATAAGTATTTCATTATGTATCTCTAAAAGAGAAGGATTTTTTAAATTAATAAACTTTATTTTTAGAGCACTTTTAGGTTCACAGCAAAGTGGAGTGGAAAGTACAGAGAGTTCCCAAATACTCTGTCCGCACACACACAGCCTCCTTCACTATCAGCATCCCAGCACCAGAGTGATACATTTGTTATACTCTGTGAACCTACATTGACACATCAATATCACCCAAAGTCGATAGTTTATTATAGGGTTCACTCTTGGTGGTGTACATTCTGTGGGTTTTGACGAATGTATAATGACATGTATCTACCATTGTAGTATCATACAGAGTAGTTTCACTGCTCTAAAAATCCTTTGTGCTCTTTTTATCTCTCCCTCTCCCATGACTCCCAGGAACCACTGATCTTCTACTGTCTTCATGGTTTGCCCTTCCCAGAATGTCATATAGTTAGAATCATACAGTGAGCAGTCTTTTCAGATTGACTTCTTTTGCTTAGTAATATGCATTTAAGTTTCCTTTATGTCTGTTCATGGCTTGATAGCTCATTTCTTTTTAGTGCTATATAATATTCCACTGTTTGGAAGTACCACAGTTTGCTGAAGAATATCTTGGTTGCTTCCAAGTTTTGGCAGTTATCACTAAGGCTGCTATAAACATCCTTGTGCATGGCTTTGCATGGGCATAGGTTTTTCAACTCAATTGAATAAATACCATGGAGAGAGATTGCTGGCTTGTATGGTAAGCATATGTTTAGTTTTGTAGGAAACTGCCAAACTGTCTTTCAGAGTAGTTGTACCATTATATATTCCCAGCAGCAGTGAATGAGAGTTCCTGATGCTCTACATTCTCACCAGCATTTGATGTTGTCAGTGTTCTGGATTTTCACTATTGTAATAGCTGTATAGTGGTATCTCGTTGTTTTAATTTGCAGTTCCCTAGTGTTACATGATGTTGAACATCTTTTCATATGCTTACATGCCATCTGTATATCGCCTTTGGTAAAAAGACCTGTTCAGGTCTTTTGCCCATTTTTTAATCAGGTTGTTTGTTTTCTTCTTGTTGAGTTTTTTTTTTTAAAACATCTTTTATTGATTGATTAATTGATTGATTTTTTGGCTGCATGTGGGATCTTAGTTCCCTGACCTGGGATAGAACCCACGCCCCCTGCGGTGGAAGGTGGATTCTTAACCACTGGACCACCAGGGAAGTCCCCCTTGTTGAGTTTTAAGTGTTGTTTGTATATTTTGGATAACAGTCCCTTATCAGACATGTATTTTGCAAATATTTTCTCCCAGTCCGACTTGTCTTCTCATTCTCTTGACAGAGAGAGACTTAAACCCACAACAATTACACTACCATTGTCACATTTAAAATAATTAACAATAAATCCCTAATATCATCAAATACCCAGTCAGCTTTCAAATATCCAGTTGTCTCATAAATATCACTGCAATCTCTTGATATATCTCTGAAATCTCTTAATCTATAGGTTTATTCCTCCATGTCTTTCTTCATTTGCAACGTATTTGATGAGGAAACTCTGACCTCCCTCTCAATCCTCCTTCAGTCTTTTCCACAGCATTTGAGAAAACCACAGAGCTTCCCCAGTCTAAAATAATGGAAAGACTCATTGAACAAAGAAGCGATTTTGTACACTTCCAGTTTCAATTAACTTCATCTCTGCTCTGTAAATAGGGGTGAATCTTATCCACCACTGGATCCTCAGGGTCTGGCACGTGACACTCGATATGCATTTGTGGAAAGAAGATAGGAGGGAAGGAAGAGAGGTTATTAGAAGAAAGGTCAAAGGGAGAAAACAGAGAAAATTTGGTGGGTACTACATTTGTCTAAGAAAGTAGAACTGAACTTTTTTATTTAGGACCCCCTCTCCTTTGAAAAATGTTGTAAACTCTAAATTTTTAAAGGCCTCTCATGATCTGGGCCTGCATCTGTCTTGCCAGGCTCACTCTTCACCCTCTTAAAACTTTGGTAGTATATTTCAATGAAAAAGCAGATAAAGCAAAACAAAACTAGTTTTAAAAAAGTTATAAAAGTAATTCATTATATGGGAAAAATTCAAACAGTTTCAAAGTACATGAAGTGAGAAATTAGTGTTTTTTTCCTAGAAGTAACCACATATATCTCCTTGCCTCAAGTATGGTTCCAGCTGCTGGGTTTGAGAGATGAAGTACCAGGTCTTTTTTGTTTGTTTGGTTTTATTCATTCTGTATCTACTGGTGACAAAAGTACAGCTATTCTTACATAGTCTTTGC